CCGCGCCCCGCGCCCCCCTCCATCTCTGTCAATGCCACTCCGCCCGCAGCCAGCCCCACCGCGCTGTCCGTGCTTCGCTGCCACCTCTGCCATTCCGTGGAATTTATTTTAGCTTTAAAAGCAGTTAGTATAATATGGTTTATATTATAAACTATACTATGTTATTGTAGTAATCTTGAAGATGCTTTTTTAAAAATATTTTATTTATTGCAATTTTGTACAAGAGTATTTTATTTGTTGTTTTTTAGCAATGTGAGAGCTCTTTTTTGAAGATTGATATTGATGGTTTTGTTCAAAAGAATTTTTGCTGCTAGTTCTGTACTAATTTAATATTTACACTTAGTCCCGATATTGATTTGTACTTCTGCCCCAGTTGCCTTTTCTGTACTCAGAGATCGTAAGATCAACAGGAAAACATCGATTAGCGTAAAGTGCTCAGAAATTTTAAAAGTTTTTTAGAATTAAAGTAAAATTAAATAAGACAAAATAGCATTGTATTACTTTCATTAAATAAATATAATGTAATTACATTGATATAAATTGAGAAATCGTTTCTGATGTGACAATATAAGTAAAATGCAGGTTGCCAAAACACGGTTATAAATATATCGTCGATTTCTTGAAATATTCTACCCATGTCTAAATTATTGATTTATCGTTGCCATCCTTGGCTTCAACAGGCCAGTAGCAGGTTGGTTCTGCGACGGTCTGGTTCCGGGTAAACCAACTCCCGATTTCCTTGGGCAGCCAGCAGAGAGCTTGCATTGCCCAGAGGCGCCGAGAGGTAGGGGCCAATTCCTGGAAAAGTTTCATCCCGCGAAGTCGAACAAAATCGAATGCGATGTCGACGTTACCGCGGGAAACGGCGGGGTGAGGCCAGGCAATCGCGATCGCTCGACGCGCCACCTCTCAGAAAGACGCCGAGTTACAGTCGTCCTGTCAGAGATCACACTTGTACCCAAAGGAAGACATCTAATGGACTACATTTCAGCTCGATAGCACAATACAGGTTACGAATCATTTTTATAATATGGTTACAGTTCTTATTTATGATGGTGATACGTGGATTGATTTGAAAGAACTCTAAAGAATTTGAAAAGTTTAGAAAACATTTTTCTCAGTACATACGATTACAATTGAACACACCTCGATTTCTACTATTTCGTGTGAATCTACGTTTTGCGCAATTCGAAATAACTCATCTATATATAAATAAGAGGGAATGTGCGGATGTGTCGCACTTAGACGAAAAACTACTGGGGCGATTTCTCTGAAAATTTCACGTTGTGTTCTTGTTGGTAATGGGAATGTTTAAAACGTGGTTTGAATTAATTCGAGCATGGGGGCGTTGTTGATGATGATTCGTTCGTTTATGACGACTCAAGCGCCCCCGAAATTCTACGCAACCCGCCGAACAGTCAAGGATTAAGAGCGTCTTCACTTCATACAAAGTATTCCGCGTATGAAGGTGTGAAATATCGGCCGGAAGTATTACTTGAATCTCGGACAAGTAAACCAAATTTCTCCAATATAGTGTCATAGCCAATGCATGACACAATGCACTCCCAAATTTGAGGGAGAACGTTTTAATAACAGGGTACTTGACAACCCTAACCAAACCAGGTCATAGAACAAACTCATACTCACGAGAAAGTTGTTCATCTATTAGACGTTTTGTGCATCTTAGTGTAAAACGTGATTAACAATCACGTGACTAGTAGTGTGTGATGTGCAATACACTAGTAGAAATAAACCAGAAAAGTTAAGACGTAATATTAT